AGAGAGAGAGAGAGAGAGAGAGAGAGAGAGAGAGAGAGAGAGAGAGAGAGAGAGAGAGACGTTGCGGCTGAGGTCTGGGGCGCCATACTGCTTTAGAAAGCCGATATCTGGGGTTGCACGGGCCCTGATTTAGCCACCTGCAAGGGGAAATTGATTTTGAAGAGTCACATTGAGTTCTGGCGGGGTGGTAAGTTCTAGTGAGGTGCTGTGGGGGAGAAGAGCGCAGTTGCCAGTAGTTGTTGATTGAGGTGATGGCACTCTGAAGTGGGGAGTGAGTAGGAAAAGAATCTGGAGTAGAAGAGGGAAAAATAAAGCCGAACATTGTATCTCTTGACAACATTCCCCAGCTATTTTTTGATCAACTCCTATCTTTGTGTAAATCGTTTGACATTATTGCTATCTTGTGTTGCATTGTCATTTATTCTGAGCATTGCGAGTTTTTATACATGATGATGATGTGAGCTGCAGAAGCCAGGGTTATTGAAGAAAGCAAGATTGAAGAGAAAATTCTGAGTTCAGTTGACATTATCTTTTGTGCTATACTGTGAGCTGGATCTCCAATTGGAGTGCCACTCTTGTCCATATCTTTTTCAATTTTTACGGAATTACCTGCCAAGTCCTCCCCTGGCACAAAATCACCCTTCCTCTTCCTCCTCTGTTTGATAACTCTGTTTAGTAAATCCGGTGCTATGTGGGCTTATGGACAGGTTAGCGTGCAATGTGCACTACTCTAATGGAAGGTTTCTCAACCATCCGGCTCAGGGGGAGGTGCGAGGGCAGGAAGTCTGCCGACAGATCACGGCACAATCGGAAGTGCTGCACAAGAAAGAGTTGGCAGGCAGGCACGGAGCACAGAGGCAACAGGGGCAAGAAGTTCAAGCAGGAGGACAGGACGTCTGTCGTCAAGCCATGGCACATCGGGGGGTCTGTTTGATCACTCTGTTTAGTAAATTTGGTGCTATGTGGGCTTATGGACAGGTTATTTTGCAATGTGCACTACTCTCATGGAAGGTTACTCAACCATCTGTCTCAGGGGGAGGTGCAAGGGCAGGAAGTCCGCCAACAGATCACAGCACAATCGGAAGCGCGGCACGAGAAGGAGGTGGCAAGCAGGCAGGGAGCACAGAGGCAACAAGGGCAAGAAGTGCAATCGGGTGGACAGGACGTCTGCCGTCAAGCCATAGCACATCGAGGTCTGGGGAGAGAGGCACAGGTGCAGTAGACACAAGTACTGGTGGGAGGGCAGAACGCCCGTCAGCATGTCACGGCGCATCAGGGTCTGGTGCAGGGGCACTCAGTGTCGGGGGGATGATGGGCACAACGCCCGCCAGCATGCCACGGTGCAGCAGGGGCCGGTGCAGGGGGCACAGGTGCAGCTGCAGGCGCATCCTTGGGAGGCAAGGGCCACTGGTTCAACAGGACCATGCGGGAATCCGCCAGGAGGACCAGGGGCAAACGGGGGGAGGTGAGGGGGAGGCCCAAAGGGACCAGGGGTTAGTACAGGATTGGGGGGGGGGGGGGGGGGGGGTACGAAGCATGGAGCAAAGCGGGGTTGAACAGAATCAGACCGGGGGGCAGGCGACAGACCCCTTCTTAGATGCCTTCGGGATACAACCTATGGATGTGGACACACTACCTGTCGCATACCCTTAAGGTGCAGACCAGAACAAGAACCGACTTCTCACATAATACAAGATAGCGCAGCGGAAGGCTAAAATACCAATGATCAGACCAATCAATGTCGCAATGCAGACCAAACATACATCATCATCATTCCATGGGGCCTGGTGCTCACACAGGAAAAATGCGCCAGTCCCCAACCATACACACACGAAGAAGAGGGAGGTTAGACGAAGAAGAGGGGAAGATGGGATACAGGTCCCACATAATCCCTCGTCCAATGTCAAGTCTGCATCCAAATGTTATCAAGTCCCAAGGCACCAATCTCTCTCTCTCTCTCTCTCTCTCTCGCGCGCGCGCGCGCGCGTGCGCGCACGTAGTCCGCAGATACTGAGAAGTCAGGTAGCGAGAGGGTGAGGGAGAGATGGTGGACTTAGAAGAGGAAGAAGAAGAACTCTCTCTCTCGTTCAGTCCGGTACTAACCTGTGAAGGTGGCGCCTTGTTGCAGGTACATCAAAGGCGAAGCTGGGGCTATGGCGCCACACGTAAGTCTCCCTGGCCTTCGCCAACCCTCTCTCTCTCTCCAACGCTACTCTAGCTCCTAATAGCGCCCAACGCTGAAGGCTACTCCTAACGCTACTACTACTACTGCAAAGCTCCTCCAGAGTGCTGCTGCCAAATCCTGAAGACTGCCTCCTGCCTCATGCACGTGAAGTGCCTGGGAAGTCCCTATGAACTACCTCGTGAACTACCTGCAGCCTGTAGGGCGGTGTCGGGCGCATCGGTCCGGCACCGCACGTGGCAGCGCGGGACCCTCTCGGCCGCGTCGCGCAGGAGTTGGACCAACCTTGCCGCGAATACACGAATGGAGCTTCCTTAGGCCGCTTCGGTCGAGTGCGCCAACCATACCTCTCGTGAGCCCCTACGACAGGATAGGGCCTACGCGAGGCACAACTTACCTTCACCTTACGGGAGCTGTCACCTCCCTTCGGTGGGCGTATCCCCGCCGAGCTACCAGTCCACAGTACGAAAGTTACTCTGTTGCAATCGCAGAGGTGGACCAGCCGAGGGCGTTTCTCGTTCGTTGTAGCATAGGGGGTACGCGCGGTAATACGCCTATTGGACCCACACGCGAACCGACATCTTGGGGGGCTGAGGTCCCAAGCGTGGCTCAACGTCGGTCGATTAGGACGCATCCCACACACCACGCGCACACCACTTTACGAACACAAAAATAAAACACACACACACGAAACGACACAACACAAACAACGCGACAAAACGCTCCTAGCCCCTTGGTAGCCATCCAATAACTCTCTGATGCGGAAATCGGACAGGCGTCGCGCGCGAAACTTAATATAAAACCGCGCGGGCGCAGGGCTAACTCATATCGACTCGCAATGCAAGCGTACGCAAGCGGTCGCAATGATGGCGTACTATGTGGTACCCATACTCACGCGGTCCCCGTTAATCGCGAGGGTCGCGTTCGACACTCAAGTGTAGGCTGACACGCGCCTTGAGGGTTAATCTCTCGACGCTGGACAACCGCCATGCGCGGTTGAAGACCACACCCTCTTCTGCACCCTGTGCAAAGAGGTTGAGTAGACAACTTTAAGTTGTCGTGGCGGTCGAACATCAAGGCGTTTGACTTTGACGGTTGCCACGGACTACAACGTCCAACCATACAACTCAAAAAAAGCAAGGGTAAGAAGGGAATTCCCCTTTTCTCTCAAGACACAATCTGGTTAACCCTTATGCCCAATTACAGTAGGCCTCTCAAATACTCAGGGCGCTTATAAGTATATAAGGGTTAATTATATAGGACGATCACTTCTCATAGTCACAGTGGGGCTCCTCTCAACATATATGTATGTAATCGCAGGCAGTCCCATCCAGAAGCCGAACCACAACCATACTTGCAATCACATCAAAGATTCATCCAGAAGTCCACACACTACACGGGGTCAACTTCGACCATTCCTTGCACTCATACCCCTCGCTTTAGCCATACAAGCCTCACTCGTGCAACTCTTAAATAAGTATTTAGTACTTTTGTTGGATGACCATTCAATAAAGTTCGGGTGAAAACACAACAAAACAGTTCAATCACAAGGCGAAAGCCTTTAGGTTGAGTGACAGGAGTGAATTGGAGTTGAATCGTAAACCGGCGAATCGGCAACCGACCTGTTATCAATGATAACAGAAGGTGATCCTCGTAGGATCAAGCTGAAACTAGTCCAAGTCCTGAATTGAATGTCCAAGAAAGACCTGTACCATAAGATAGGCCAATGCCCAAGCTAAAATCTGTAAGTCCTTGGAGAATAGAACTCCAAAACACATTCTCACTCAAGATCCTTCTAATTGACTAAGCCTGAATCTACCTTTAAGCAGTGCTCAAGCAAAGGTAGACCCTGGCATGATCTCCCCTATACAGAGTGGATCGCCAAAATTGCCACCTGTCGAATATAATCTAACTCCTCTAAACTAAGGAAATTTCGGCAACGCTTCCCGTAGGAAAACTGCCTTTCCAGAATTTATATAAGCCTGAGTATAAAAACAGGAATAGTCTTTGACTTTCTAAAGTCCGACTTTTGTCTAACTCCCTGAATTAGTTAAAATTTGGGCAGCACCCCCTTTAGAAAGGGAGATTTCCCAGACTTTTTACTAAGCCATGTATAATTCAGACAGTTGAACTTTTGAAAAGTCAGAGATTTATCTAACTCCTTGGATTTGCAGCAATTTCAGCAACGCTTCCCGTAGGAAAAGTGGCTTACCAAGATTTATACAAACCCAAGTATAAGAAAAAATCTCAGATAGATGCAGGAATTGAACTAAGTAGAAAAAACTATCTCAGAAAATGCAGAAATTGAATCTAACTCCTATAGCTCTATTACGTGGCGAGCCACTACAGCAACTACCTGTCAACCTGAAACTCAGACCAAGTAGTAGTCTCACAATGTTACACGCAATGCCAAACCACAAAGGTAAGTACTCTCGCCGGCCCAAATCAATTTAGCAAACAATAGTTCATAGTCCTTCAATGATTTAACCCCTTATACCCTGCTTACATAGGGCATTGGGATTGGCCATTCATCTTAGAAACAATGCCAGCCCTCTGCCTTAGTTATACACGAACAGGTTGCACAACTACTTTTCTCTTCATTGGGCATAAGACTAAGCCATGCATCTTAGAAACCATGCTTAGTCGCCCTGAACTGTTTAAATAGCCAAGTTATATATACCTTTCTGCACCTTAGTCTTCAGAAAGAGGGCGTAGGGCTGAGCCATTCATCTTAGAAACAATGCTCAGCCTGCCCAGGTTACCTTCAATTATAGCTCTCGATTATACTCTCTTCGCTTATGATAAGGCTATAGTCGGGTCATTCATCTTAGAAACAATGCCTGACTAGCCTTGTTCGCATATAAGTACATATATATATACAACATTATAGAGAATCTTATTCCTTTGTTYTCATTATGGTCCTGAGGCCTCAGACTTAGACCATTCATCTTAGAAACAATGTCTAGTCCTCTGGCCTTGAATCCTCCCTCAGAACAAAAACAATCAAGGAGAGATGAGCCATTCATCTCAGAAACAATGCTCAGCTCCCCCTTTTTCAGCACACAAAAAAGCAGAGTACCCTGAGTTTGACCCAGAGACTGTTCAGAAACCCACCCATGTAAACAGCGGTCAGACCATTCATCTTAGAAACGATGTCTGACCCTCAAAAGTCAAGCAAGCAATACCCCTCAGAAGTAAGTAGCCAGGCCATTCATCTTAGAAACAATGTCTGGCACAATTAAAGAAACACAGCAACCAAGCCATTCATCTTAGAAACAATGCTTGGTTCTTCAGAAACCAGAACAAAACTCAGCAGTCAGGCCTTTGGGTATTAATTATACCCACGATACCACGTCCCAAGGCGACATGGGACGTCGTCAAAAATTAGAAAGGAAGTATATATATAAAAAAAACTTCAACTTTGGCGCAGTCACAAGAACAGTTTGCAATTGCATTTCGGACGACCCCGCAAATACAACACACCCCCACGTGCTCCTACCGCAGCCCTGCGTCCCAAAACAGGACGCGAGACCCAGAACAATAAGAAAATAAAATAGAATAACAGTAACGTCGGGGAACCGCGGGATCGTTGGCACCCTGCCGTCCCGTGGAGTGGGTCCGCCGCCGCGGCTGTTAACAAAACCGAGGGGGATAGCCCTGCGGGGCCCTCAACCCCTCAGACCAGTGCCCGCACAGTACCATACAAGGCAGTGCGGCGGGCGCTTGGGGCCAACAAACCGGCTGCGCGACTCCCAGTGCCCACGCCGGCTTGCTTGTATCGTGCCATAATTGCCCCACGCACCATCCTACGACGCCCCGCTCACCGCACGAAGGCGCGCCGTCGTTGTCGATGTCGTCGTCCTCGCACGCGCGCTTGCCTCGGTCGCAGGAAATTATCCTTAATTCCTACTTAATCAAAATAAATAAATAACAATAATAGCATTAAACAGAACGACCGATGTCCGCGCCGGCTTTATGATCAACAACAAAAAAAAATCGCGCGCGCCCTAAACCTGCGCGCCCACACACTCTCTATTATAGTCAACCGTCCGGTCAGCGTAGGTCACAGACGCAACCGCGCCTAGCGCGGTATACTTGAACTTTAAATCAAAGCTATTTCTCTGTCACTTGCAAAAACCAGGGCGGATACCCTTGTAAGGGTATTCGCGCCGACAGCGGGTCAATCTTATATAGTGCTGGCCCGTCCAGGAGGCTGCTCTTGCCAATTCCAAAATGTGCCAGACCCTGGCGTTGAAGTTCAAACAAAGGTTGTCTTGAAAACA